GAATCTTAAGCGCATAAGCAATATTTTCCGCCTATTCATTTTATTATTACGCTTGTAATGGTGCGCACTCAGCACTCAACAAAATATAGCTTGAACCTATTTATTTAGAGAGTGACTATATTGACCGACTGAGTTAACCTTCCCCTACAAATTTTTGACGCGCTCCCATCCGTACGATGTATACAGTGTGTACCATAAATACCATTCAGCCTGACAGCCACTAAATTTCGAGCAGCGTAACGATCGTAAGGCTGCAGGAGGGGGAAATGGATCTCCGCGTCCGAGCCGTCCAGAAGAGGCCGCTAACTGGGGCTGTCGCGCGCGAGATCGACGAGAGCGACAGCAGCGATTCTGAGCCGCCCCGACAAGACTCCCAGGACGACGTCTGGCTCCCAACACCCGCTGCGAGCGGTGCTGGTTCGGGTGATGGAGAGTCTTCCGAGGCTTTCAGTGTGTCGGATGTAACCGATTTAACCAGCAGCACTAGCGAGGGTGGTCCCCCCACACGCGTGGTGGCATTACCACCCAACACGGTGGAGTTCGCCTCGTGGGAGGCCTTCGACGAGTACCTGGCTGCGTATGAAGCCCAAACGTTTCAAGTATGCGAGTATCATTCAAGATTTAATGAACGGATGTCTGACCCCGCTGTCCCACTAATTTTGTGCTATCTGTCTTGTAGATATTCAGGGCGCGCTCTTATACCAGCGTGGCAGAGCGCAATGCCAGGATTGACAAGTCACAGTCAAAAGCAGCTAAAATACCAGCATCGTGGGAACAGTATTCGAGGACGTTCGTTTGTACGCACTCAGGGGAGTACAAGTCTGTAGCTACGAAGCGGCCACGCCAAGAGACTCGAGCACAGGGCTGCAAGGCGCAGGTACATATATGTCGGCCTGGTCGGGACTGGTCGGGTCCAGTCGGGGTCAATCGGGTAGTTCACTGACTGACAGTGGTTATATATGCTCTACAGATTAATGTCTGCGTCCAGGTAGTTGATACAAAGAATACGACGTTTGCTGTGCGGATCACTCGTTGTCGACTAGAGCACAATCATCGTCTGACAAGCCTGGATTTCTCTTCACATCCATCGAAACGCATTATCCTCGACGAGTCAACGCTAACTACAGTTGATCTACTTCGAAAAAAGGTGTCAAGAAGTCTGGTATCATCAGCCACCTAATGAAGCACACCGACAGTAACCCCACCCCAAAAGATGTGCAAAACCTCGTCCAGAAACTAAAGGCTCGCGAACAACGCGATGGGCCTTCAAGCACTGACAAGCGGCTTAAGAAGTGGATGAAGCAACTCGGTGATGTGCCAGGGAACGTTGGTCGGATTTTCTTGGACGACGTTGGTGGCAAGGTAGAGTGAATGCTTTTATCAGGTCTAATGTCAATTCATGAAGTTAACATTTGTTGTTTTGTGTGCTATTGGATACGCAGAAAGTTGCGACTTGCATCACATTGCAAACAAAGCACATGCGAACACTATTCGACCATTTCCTGAAGTTCTGATGATTGACGCAACGCACGGGACGAACCGGTCTAAGTATAAAGTTTTTTCAATCATGGCACACGATACTTTCGGCAAGGGCCAGTTTGTGCAGCACGCGCTGCTTCAAAATGAGCGCTATGAAACCCTGTTGACAGCGATAGAGGAATTCAAAGCGAACAATCCTGCGTGGTCAAGACTTCAATGTGTGCTGGTGGATAAGGATTTCACAGAACTGTCCGTACTTGAAAAGGCATTTCCTGGGGTGACAGTCTTACTTTGCCAATTCCACGTGCTGAAGTACCTACGGGAAGAGATTGCTTCAGCTGACTATGGATTTTTGAGGTCTCAGAAAGAGCAACTTGGCGGTGTTGTGAGCTTACTTGTCTACGCAAAAACGGAAGCAGAGTACGACAAACGCCTCCAGTACATGGTGCATCTTGCGTCGATTGGTTATGCCGGTCCAGTTGCGAATGATCGATCTGGTATCGTAGTCGGTGTGGAGTCGGGCTCAGTCGGTGTAGAAGTCACAGATCATGAACTGGAAGATATTTCTTCTCGCATTGATAAACATCCTTTTGTGAAGTACTTTCGAAAGAATTGGGACAGCTGTCGTGAGCTCTGGTGTGCACATAGGCGCCAGAATACCGTCACACTCGGCAATAATACCAACAATCGCCTATAAGCCTCTTGGAAGCAGCTTAAAGAATGGGTGGATTCGTTTATGGGGGTGGATGAGTGCATCGCTTCGACCATGTACTATCAAACGTTACAAGAGCGATTGTTCATTGCAGAAGTATACAAGAATGTGACCGTCCAGCATCCTGATTACGACAGCGAGATGACACTGGTGGCGAATATTGTCAGTGAGCATGCTTGTGAACTTATATTCGGGCAGTATTCGTATGCTATTGGATCTGCGTCGTACACGTTTTATGAGGGGTGCCCAGACGTGTATTTTATCAAGAGTATATCTACAGCTGATGACGCGCTGGACGAGATGAACGCCGAGTATTCAGTTACTAAGCGCGAATGGAAGTACTCCTGTCTATTCATGTGCACGAGATTGCTACCCTGTCGACACGTTTTCTACCTCCGAAAGGCTCTTGGTCAGGAGACAGTCATCCCCACACTACTGTTAAACAGGCGGTGGCTGTTGTCTACTGTGCGTGCGGCGATTGAAAATTCAAGTGTCGTCTCTGACACAGCGGAGCCAAAGTCTTTTGAGGTAAAAAATGTGATGTCCTCACAGGCGAGACCGTGGGACTCGAACCGCAAATATCGTGAAGCACTGCAATTTGCATCCCAAATTTGTGACACCATGGCGGGACTCGGCATGACGCAGTATAAAGAAGCGATGCAGTATCTTCAAAGTGTGACTGGGCGGTTCAAGAGAGGCAAATTCGAGGATCCCGGTGTGCCAATTTTACCACCAGCTGAATCTGAGCGTCACGGTTCGACTAGCAACTCGCGCGATGATGCGCTGTCGCCGCCACTACTTACTGGTCACGATCCGACTGCACGGCCGACTCACCACGTGTCGGCAGAACTGCTTACTCGTCATGCGGATACAGCAAATGTGAGTCATGTATCCCCAACTGCATCTGAGTCTGACCATGCCACAAGCTGCAACTCCGTCGAAACAACACAGGTTGCAGATTTATCGGGCCAGTCGGGGGCATATCAGGTCCAGTCGAGGAAGAATCGGGTCCAGTCGGGGAAGAATTGGATCCAGTCGGGGAAGAATTGGATACAGTCGGAGAAGAATTGGATACAGTCGGGGACGTTGAATTAAGCACACTACCACCAGCAACGAAAGACACGCCATTTGTGATAGCGAGTCCTCCAAGATCGCGAGGACGACCAAGACAGACAGCCAGATCAAAGAAGGCAGCTCGTAAAAAACTGTCATTGTAGCTCAAGAAGACTCAGAGCTGTACGCTTCGAATTTAAGCTTGGCGTCCGTGGATGCAGCGCTGTCTTCGGATGCAACATACATATCGTCAGCTGCAGTTGTGAACAAGTTCAAAATGGTGGAGTATGGCTTCAAGTTCAAGACACCTACAGCACGAACAATATCGAGCTTGCCACCCACAATCGCTTTGATACCAGCAGAGTCGATCACGCGGATATTGCGCCCTGAACAAATTGCCATTTGCAGGAAAAAGGTTTCGGCTCTGCAGTCGAAGCACAAAGGCCTAGCAGAAAGTGCCGTGGCGCTGGATATTATAGGCTTTGGTGCGTTCTCAACGAGTACAATTGGGATCATGAATAGGTGGCACATGGCAATAAAGGTGGTAAAACAGGTCGAGAAGGCTGTGAAGTGGGTCAAAACCATTGACTTCACACTCCCAATGCCTGCTGCGTTTCAAGTGGTGCTACAGACGGATATGCTGTCAAAGATGCAGTCAATCCTGCTTTTGTCTGCAAAGGTACGTCGACGAAATCATGCCATCACAACAACACTTTCTAACTAAACGTTATGTTTGACAAACAGGCAGAAATTCTAGATCTCGTCGGAAAAAACAGCTAAGCGACGATACCATGAATATCGTCATGTCCAAGCTGTTCGGAGAACGAAATGATGTCGTCATTGTGGATCCAGGTGTTATCGGTTCCATTGATAATGAAGATAGTCCTGTCAATACCAGAGCCTTCGCTACAATTTTCGCGGGCAAGACGAACGAGAAAATTCTGATCCCTATATGCTGCAGCAACACGCATTGGTGCTGCGTAATGGTGAACTTAAATCTGAATGATGTGTGCATTTATGACCCAATGAGCTCGAGCTATGTCGTTAGAGTCCGAGCGGTCGCAGAAAAGCTGGCAATGCAACTGCCAAACTACGCACCAAGGAAATACCGAGTACACCACTACATGGGCGATCTAGGGGTACAAGTAGATTCATACAATTGTGGTATGTATGTTCTGCTAGCGTTTGAGGTATTCGCTGGTGCCCAAGGTCTGTGCATGCTGAGTAGGAAGGAGTTACAGTATCTGCGCTACAGATACATATATATGTGTCTATAGCTAACCCTTTCAACAAGTTTTTGATATTGATTCTGCACTTACCAGTCCCACTGAGCTCTACTGAATAAAGTTTCTCATGCTCATGACATGATGCCGGTCGTACTTGCACGCTCAAACCACAAAGTCTTCACATCCGGATATACGTATACGGACGCTTGATTGCTCAACTGACTTAATCTGTGTCGGGCATGGTCGGGCATTGATCGGGTGCTGTCGGGCACCATTAGCCTGTCTCTTCCACACCAGTCGGGTTGAATAGCAAGTGCCATTTATTTAAGGTGTTGTGTGGGATCGCAATCCGATCCCGGGGGTCTGATTGGGTGATTTCAAAGGGTACAAAAAAATCCGACTGACCAACCAAAAGTGACCTTCCTACAAAGTTAATCATTTTTAGAATAAAAATACCCAGTTCTGCATTAAAGGTTTCCGTTTTCCGGTGCGAAAGGTCAGTTTCGCGGGTGCCGACAAGTTCCGCTGCCATGGTGCCACTGATCGCGCTGTTGCTGGTCTTTCTTTTCGATGTAGCGCAGTGCATCGACATGCTGCAGCTGCGTACTGTATCGCCAACCTCATCGCAGCAATTTCACGCCTCAGCTGCAGCATTCGGAGCCGCTTTACCGCAGGTGTCCTGGCCTTCTGCTTCCTATTCACGCTCCACCGGACAATTGCTAGTAAACAAAGCATTCAGGACGCCGGATCAATCGCGGAGACTCGTGCAGGCACAGATGACATCCGACTGCAGTAAAGTGAAGCCCGTAAACGAAGAAATGGTCGCGTTACCCGAGCAGTCGGCTCTGCTGATCCCTCGCAGCGTCACATGCTCCGTAGAGCAGCAAGCTCTAGCAGCACAGCAGGCGGGCGCGTCCCTAGTTATTATTCGCGACTCAATAGCGGGCGCCTTTGCTGCGGAGCTGAGTCACAGTGTGTACTATGACTGTACGCTTGGAGAGGAGACAGTGACGACCAATAGCACCGTGTTCCCGGAGCTCGCAGACCCTTTTTCGGCCTGGACATGCTCCTCCACGCCAGCGTGTGTGACAAATACTTGTGTACTTACGGGGAAGACGGCGGATATGTCAACCGACCGCTTCCAAGCCTGTTGCTTTATCAGTAATTGGCTACAAATGCAGCCGGTAAAGCAAGAGCGCACATTTGTGGGTCTTGTGGTGAGTATTCCCGTTTTATTAGTCTCGTTCCAGGACGGCAATAGAATCGACGATGCAGTGCGTATTATCGACGACACAGATGTACTGGTATGGGCGTTCAACACGGAGGAATCGCCGTGGAATGTGTCGATGCTGTTGACGTGGATGCTTGGGGTGTTTGCGGTTGTAGTGTCCGCGTATTATTCGTGCAGTGAAGAGCGCCAACTTTCGTATGATCAAATGGCTCGAATACTGACCGGAACGCTGGATCGGAACCCTTCCAGTAGTTCCATCTCGACGTTAGTGGAGTCGACAGCAGCCAATGAGTACGCGAGTATCGACGACGACAGACTGGAGCTCAGTAGCAAGCATGCATTATTCTTTCTAGTAGGATCGTCGTGTCTGCTGCTGCTACTGTACTACGTGCATCTGGCTCTGATTCTGAGCGTATTATTCGCTCTAGCTGCGAGTGCAGCACTCTCCCATGTGTTCACGCTCCCTCTAGTGGCGAAGATGGTGTCTCCAAATAGTGGGAATTGTCAGTTTCTTGTACTGCTTTTAGTGATGTTGACGGCTCCAGCGTTGGCTGTGTGCTGGTTTCTGGCTCGATCTCAGGCGTGGGTTTGGCCGATCCAGGACTTCATGGCGCTGACAGTCGGTCTCGTATTCATCGACGTCGTCCGGCTTCCGAATCTTCGAGTGGCTACAAGTTTACTGACCGCAGCATTCATCTACGACGTGTTCTTCGTCTACATTTCGCCGCTAATTTTCGGCTCTAATGTCATGGTAGATGTGGCGTCTGGAGGTGCGAGTACGCGGTTAAGTGCGGTTGCAGATGGCGAGGAGGTTACTGTGCAGCCGACACCGATGGTGTTGAGTGTCCCACTGGTATTCTCAGTGTATGGAGGTGAGGCGTTATTAGGACTGGGAGATATCATAATCCCTGGCCTTCTAGTCGCGTTTTGTATTCGATACGATTATTATTGTGGACGGCCATTGTCACGTGGGTACTTTTGTATGGCAACGTGTGCGTATGCGCTCGGCTTAATGGCTGCCAATATCATGGCTGTTGTTCTTCGAGACGTTGTGGCTGGACAGCCTGCTCTTATGTACATTGTACCTATGATGCTGCTTACTGTGCTGGGGCTAGCAAGGATAAATGGCGAACTTGGAGTCATGTGGAATGATCCGACGTGCCTTCGAGCTCCAAGATGCCAGACTTTCGCGTTTGAAGAATCTGAATTAGAAGTAGGAGAGCAACTAGGAGAGCAGCGACCGCTTCTCTCTGAAAGTTAATAAATTGACGAAAAAGTTTTTTATCTTTGAAAATAAAACGGGAGGTAGACCAACCAAAAAGTGACCGTTTCTGTATTTGATTTGCATCAGACACAGCTTCGTTGTTTACTTTCGTTTGTTGCATTTGCTTAGCCGAGTCGCTTGAGCTCCTCGAGCTGCGCACGAAGCTTTGCTGAGTTTTTATTCGAAGCGGGAATTTGCTGCAGCATGTTGCTCAACCTTTTTTCCCCGAAAGCCTTCACAAACGTGCCTACCAACGTTTCGTCTGCTGAAGTCTTTCTGTTGTATAACATGATGTACTTGTCCAAAGTGTCCACGTTTCGGCTGATAACAGCTCCAATACCAGCGCTCTTAAAATCTAGAACGTTGAAAACTTGGTCCACGGACATGTCCTTTTTCAACCAGCCCTCAAGCTGTTGGTTCTGCAGACGTTTAGCGAGCATGTTGTCATCCTTAACTGCAGACACAATCGCCTTTGCCACATCAGAGTCACCGTACTTCTTCGTGAGCGCCCCGAGCAGCGTCGCCTGATTGTTTCCGCTCTTGAGGTTGATATCGATGATATACTCATCAAGTCCTCTCAGTTCTGTGCCTTTCAAAGCCTTACCCACATCGTTATCAAGATTTAGCAGCTTCATGACACTTGCTGGATCCAGATTGTCGCCTTGCCACTCTCTGAGCTTCTTAAGCTCGATGGCCTTCGCATGTGTATAGTGATTGTATTGTGCTCTGTCTAGAATTTTTTTCAAATTGTCCTCACCGCCAAAACCCTTTGTCAAGGTCTTGAGCAACGTTTCCTGACCGTTTTTCTCGCTGTTGATCTTCACAATGTAATCATCCAGTACATCCAGCTTTCGACTTGTAAGCGCTAGATACCCGTCTCCCACGAAGCTTGAGCAAAGCGAAAAGCGATTTACCAGAGGTCGGAAAATACAATACTGTATTGTATTGATGGCAAAGTTTTGCCGCAATAAAAATTCGAATATGAGCACTCCCAATAATAAAAATTGCCGCAATTTAAATATATTGGAGCAATATCTAGCTATGTCTTGCCCTTCCGTGTACTCATGCACCAGCCATGATCCCCGTGAGTATGCTGGCCCGATAGTCGACTGGCCAAGCCACGCCAAGCTCCTTTTCATTAAAAGTCGCTATCATGTTCTGTGGTAGGTCTGACGACGGCTGCCAGGTTAACTCTTGAAACCCCACCCGAGAAACTAAAAAGTAGTCTTGCCCGTCTTGACTAGTTTTCTTGGCGTATATTCTATCAGCAACATATAAGTCGAGGCCACCTTCGAATTCTGAAGTTTCATCTTCTGAGTCCGTATCATCTTGGAGAGCCCCTAAGAAAGGCCGGCACCAGGGCAATTCAGCTGCTTCCTTCTCCAGCTCCTGCAAACGTTGCTACAGGCTGTCAGGTAGACTTGTATGTTTCATCTTTTTCTGTCGTTTATCGTAGCTTACCAGACACTCTCGTAGCCACCGGTTTCAGGTTGGTGTGGAGATGGTGTGGTGAACAACGAAAATGATGTCATAAGATCTGATTGGTGTAGTTATATCGAAACAATTACCAGGGAACCTTTTGCCATATTTATTGTCAATAATTGGTCCAATACCATATTGTATTGATAAGGTCAACTACAATATTACATATTTATATTGCAAAAAAAAACCCAATAATATATTGAATCGCAATTATTATTTCCGACCTCTGGGATTCCAGCCAAGCACTCAGTTGTTCAGCTCGCAGCTTCTTCGCCAGCGCCACAGCCTCAGCTGAAGAATCTGCATGCGTTTGGACCTTTACTAACGCTCTCGCCAAGCCATCGTCTCCGTAGCGGGTCGTGAGGGTCCCGACCAGTGAGATTGTTTTGTCCGGATTCTCCTTGTTGAACTTCGTGGCGTACGTATTCAAAGTCTTCATTTTAGAATGTTCTAGAGCAGCTGCCGCATCGTCCCCGAACTTTAAGCTGTTCATGACGACGTCCCCGCTACTTTTCTTGAGCAAAAACACTTTCAGCTTAGCGGAGTCGATAGCCTTCGATATACTGGTCATAACTGAATTCAAGGCGTTTTCTACAGCGACTCTCTCTTCGTCATTATCGGCTCTCAAGAGCCTTTGAACAGGAGCACTATATTTCTCATCAAGATAATTGTGTGTGGTCCTCACCGAGGTCGTTTCCTTCGCGGCGCACGCTAGAGATGCGGCAAAAATCAGCAATACAACTACAAAGAGACGTATCATCGAAAGGGACTTTTGCTGAGATCTGTAGAAATGGTCCTGATGTCTGAATAATGAATTGCGAAATGACAAGCGAGTCGAACGAGGTCGGGAGTGCACGAGGGATTGGCGCTCACACAATTGGCTACCGCAATTACTACCGTGATCACTGGAAAAATCATGAGCTGTGTTGTTACCTAAAAACAGTTGTTATATCCTGAACGTTCCTGAAAAGATGTTTACTTGGAGAAGCCACTTTGAGAATTTCAAGCATCAGCCGTAAGGCAAATTCACGTTGTCCATCGTGAAATGAGGCTACGTATAGCTTATCGTATAACCAACTCTGGAGTTGATGCGCGCGGTCGCGATCAAAAACTGAAAGATAGTAAATCTACATCCAGGCTGCGTGGTGATACACTTAATCTGATTGAAGAGGTAGGTAGAGAGCCAGTATTAAAAAAGGGGCTGTTCTCAAATTCAATAAGGGACGCTGGTGTAATTTACTACAGATTGTCGTTGTACCGCCCCCCCTCCGGCCCTAAGATCGCGTATTTGTAAGATCAGTAGTATTTTTACTCCACCTTTCAGCATTTCAAGACCAGTATTAGCTTCACTTTAAACCGGGTAAAACTACTCAGAAGTACTTAGTTTTACTTATGAGTAAGTCTCGGCTCCCGGCCTTCGCGGAGCCCTGCTAGACTGCAGCCTGCGAAAGGGATAAGTAAGGCTAATAATGCCATAGCTGTATTGCGGCATGTAAGAGCAGGTGTCAAATTATCTCGAATGTGTAAAATATAAGAGCAAAAGCGCTTTCCCGATTAGGTAGTGCAAATACTATGTACTGTTTGCACTATCTTTGGCACAAACTAACTACAGCATCCTGGTATTAATAGCCTTAAGCTTACGCTTAAAAATACGTGCCACGAAGCAGCAATGGTGGAGAGCCTTAGCAGCAGTTCAAAGCTCATTTTCGGTATAGGCACTGATGTCGCTGCGCATACTTTTTCTTTTTTGCTAAGTCGTACAAGCATGGCTTATTGACTATTGTTTTATTCAAGCTGGCTATCAACCCAAGCTTAATTAGGGCGATCCAAATTTCTTTGGTTTCTGATGCAAAGAGGTTGGGATCAATTTGAGAACGAATTTTCAAGCGAAACGTAAAATTACACACCAATGTGCAATCTAATCCAATCGGATAAGCTCGCTTGTATCTTTTGCGAGCCAAACGGCTTTCAACTGTATTTTGAAATGTCAATCATGGTACAAGCCAGTACGCTTCCACTGGATTATGGTACCACGTTCTGTTAAACGATTATGCCGTAGGTGAATCCTCGCGGAAATGTTTTTATTCATTTGCACTTCCCCCAAACGCAATTAAATGCAACGGAAAACTTTCCCGAATATAAACTTTGTTTAGGCCTTGCGGATTGTGGCATTTCGATATAGAATGCTTTTCCTATTGACTCCACTTTTTAATCTTTTGAAACGGCTCGAAAAGGACTAAGTTATGATCAATAATGAGCAAAGCACCTGTTTCAATTTGAGAGCGGCAGGATCTGAATGGCGATTTGCCACCGTACCACTCTGACCTACATATTAATAGGCCCTGGTCTAAGTAAACTTGTTCCGAGAATAGCAGAAGGGATTGGGTTGGATCAGAACGACTTTCAGGTCAGAGTACGGGTATTCTGGATTTGGCTCCGAGACAAGTGTCAGGTCAGGACGAGTTCTCAGTGTTTGAAGCCGGTGTATAAGTACGTGAAATGCAATGCAGTGCATGACAGCAGAACAATATCTCATTTTCGACCACTCTCCTCCAGCTCAATGGACTCACACGACTTAAGACCTGCTCACACCGACCAACCCACGCCCCACGATGGAATTGTTCGGCTTCCGATATTGCTATCCATTTTGACAAGCTGACTTACTGCCTGATAATGTGTGAACCAAGAAAGCAACACACAAAGTGGGCACTTGGAGCGAAATATACTGTGGCAGAGACAGCAAACTCGTTCCGACTTCAGAACACCTCCACAAGGTGTTCTGAGAACCCCACACAGAATGGTGTAAACTCGGAACGCGTACCGAGAGTCGCTCTACTCTCAGCCAATCAAAAGGCAAATTTTTTAGAACGAGTTTCGGTTTTTTCTACGTAGACCAGGGCCTTAAGAATCGACAGTTCAATTTTCAAAAACCAAAAAAAATTTCAACAGTTTTTGTTTGGGAGGCTATACCTTAAATTAATCCTGAGATTATCTTGTTTCGCGTGATAGAATTGGCTGTCAACAGCAGCTGAAATCGTGAAGGCAAAGGTTTAATTTGCGTCAACGATTTTCGGTACCATTAGATTTTTTTATCGCAGCACCTTCTGTTTCTAGTATTAACCTATCTCTTGCGTACTTTGGAGCTTCATTAGACTGGTCCAAATATTTGGACTGATTTCGATGCCCACCCAAACGTTTTGGCTAATCATATGACATAGACCAATGTATTGTCCACTTAAAAGACCAAATGTGGACCACATTAAAATGACCTTCTGTTTTATACAGAGTAAGAAAGCATGTTGATCTCACTATTAATGAAAGAGCGCAATATTTAATCTGTTTGAAGCTCTTTCTGTGGTAGACCAGACGCCCCGAGACATAGAATATAAATTTATACAAAGCCATGCATAAGTGTACCCACCACATGGACTACTTGCGATCTCTGATTGGACAAGAAATAATTTGATACGACTGTGATATCTACCAAATTTGCTTTCCCTTCTAAACCGATCGTGACGGGAATCGATTGCTGTTGTACACTAGCTTCACCACATGTACACTAAAGGGATAGTTTGATTAGATTACTAGTAAGAAAAACATGAAACACAGAGGTACATGATACATGTAACAGGTTGTGCTCCTCATTAAATGTCAATCTGTCGCTATTTGCCTCATCTCGTCTGTGCTTTCTGCAGCGAAGTTGCTTCCTCAAGTGTGGGGAGATGGCTGTGCCAGTTACCCACGTGCGATGCCATATCTGACTACGTGCTGGCGTGTTACCTGTCTCCTCCCTTCGCGCCGTTTTGAAATGTGGCATGTAACCGCCCCAAGTCTCCGAACACTGATGGCAGTAGAAGCTACTCTCAAGCTCTTGGTTTTGGGAGGGCTGAAAGCCGAGCAAACTCTGCAGAAAAATTGACGACGCTTTCACTTTCCGGCTTGCCTTCCAGATTTTGCCATGTACAAATCGGTTGTGTTTTGCAGCACGTGCTCACTTGTACGCACCAGGACACAACCAAATCTTCAGCGTGCATTTCTGTCTGGAAAGTATCGCTGAATACCCCAAGCAACTCTACTTGAAGTCATCGCATATATTTAGCACGTGTTGGGCCCCGCTCACCTGGTTTCTTCATCACTATTTTAAGCTGTATAAACCCATTTACCACGGCCATATTCACGAATGCGAGAAATAGCTTGCGGTAATACTTTTTGAACACCGCACAGCGCTGAATATAATATCTTTGAGGTCTGAGCTGATCGTGGAGGTATACTCCCCCATACCAGCGTGGTAGTTAACTAGCTGTGGACACGGTACTTGTGTCATGGCGCCTGTGCGTTTGTCTTTCCTTGTGACGACTGTTTGGTTTGAGGAGCAGCCGGTTGATATCATGAGGACAGGTGTCGATTCAATCCAAGCTAGAGCTACTAGAGCTGGATAGCGGCTTGCATATGCGATACGGTAGGCTCCTCGAGCCATGCTTTTCACTCGTGTTTTTTGCTTGAATTGCAGTGCAGTTGGCCATCCCAGCCCGGTCGCTACACTGCGTGCCGACGTAGTAAAATGCCATTGCAAGAAGTGCGAGAGCGAGAGCACATGATCTATAAAAGCTGTCTGCGATGCCGAGACGCTTGACGGGTTGCCCGTCAAAGACCTTTGTCACGTTTCGGATAACCGCTCTCTGTGCTGCCTCTTTTTTTAGTTTTGTCTCTCTCAACCCCGAGGTAAACCTCAACTCTGTAGTATACAGAATATCATCCAGCGTAACACCTGTAATAAACTATATATTCTGTTTGATACGGAATACCGGAAATTTGACCTCAATAGCTCTGTCGAATACAGCACAACAACATACCGTGAACAGTACCCTGTTTCAGCACAGCAAGGAATTTAGCACTTCGTACCGTACTTGTGCGGTTTGTCCTTATTGTAGACGGGCATCGGATTGTACTGGCTGCGATTCGGAATGGTACCTTCATCTAAGTTTACTTGTGGACCCAACAGGAACCCGCGGTGGAAACGTCCTCAAGGGTGTCTGCAGAATGGGTCGAACTTTCCAAGCTTTGCCAGTCAAACGGGCTTGCCTACTATTGCTGGTAAAGTGAAGAAAACGCGTGATCGTCTTGAATCTGTCACGCTTCATGTACCTGCCAAATGTACCACGAGGGACAACTCCGTCTTCTTGCGATGATCAATGACCGCTCCACCCGTCTTTGCGTTCTCAAAGCGTTCGAGCCACTAGCAGACCGATTACATGAATAACCTCGTGGACTTTGATGGCCTGCTTTTCAAGCTTCCGAACCATGTCAGCAAAGTCGGTGACAGCTCTCTGAGGGTCCTTTGGATGCGTTTCTAACTCATGTTGTTTCTGCGCAATCACAGGGATGCACTTAATACGATACGTCTCTTTCTCCTTCGCAATTTTATCCACATCTTCTTTGGAAGAAAAAAAGAAGATTCCAATTGGCGATTCAGCTTATTCAGCTGCTGATCGAGTCGGCCCACATGAACCACCGTTCAATTCAACTGCATCCAGCTTCAGGTCACCTGCAGTGAGTACGATACATAATTAGACTGTACGTTATTAGCAAACTCACCGCCATGGGCTTCATCGTAGATATCCCAGCCTGAGTCATCCAATGCGCGCATCTCATCCTCGTCTTGCTCGAATAATACGTTCTCATCTTCAAATATCTATGTCCGATTCAATGTCACTCTCGTATTAACCGAAGTCCCTTCCTTGTTCCTCATATGCACTGCCTTTATCTTCGGACTTTCGTCCGAAATAGACTCTTCGACGACATTGGTTTTGTTCGACGCTGTAGGTTTGAATAGATCCTCTGACCACGAAGCGTCTAATTAGTTTCGCCGTCAAAGACGTCTAAAGTGTCGGACCTTTCATCAGGCTTGGTATCCACCTCGGTTTCAGCAGCGTCCGAGTATTGTGTATCTTTCGGAATATAGGCTTCATTGCTATCGACTTGTTATGTATAGTACCAAATAGGCTTATCTTGTCTGGACACTAGCGCTTCATCTTGCACCTCAGACGTCTCTTCGCGAGAGGAGGTGGTCGAAGACGACACCAAACCCAGCAGGGGATCTGGTATTTGCCTCTGAGCAGCTCAGTAAGCCGCTTGCTTCCCCATCGGCGGACTCTGAACATAGCGCGGACGCCAGCTTCCACTGAAAGATGTAACAGACCCGCCTGGTGTGCATACGCCATCAGACTCTCCTCTCATGTAATGGAATATTCTGTTAGCAAAAAGTAACGTATCTGTTCATCGATACTGTAAATCATACCTTTAAAATAGTCGACACCATTTCTGTCTGCACGTAGTCTGCCAGACACGCCTGATTTGACGTAAGAGTGGTGGTTGCTATGGCCCGTGGGCTTCCTCGACTTCCCTCCTTCCTTTAACAACTCGCGCCACAGCTCCTTGAAGGTTTTTTAGCCGGGTCCGTTCATCTCGTTTTGCAGAAACTAGAATGAGAGACGAATGTGGCGCGGGAGGTCTGTATCATTGATACTGTATTTGCTATGGTGGCCCGTCTCTCTAATCCAAAACGATAAGTTGACCAAAACCCACTTTTAAAAATACATATATGCGGAGGACTGAACAGTGGTTAAGATTGTAGCACATTGACTCCTGTTATAACGATAACATCGTAAGATACATGATATCGTATTAGAAGGGCTAAGTGGGCCAAAGTGGTACTAATCTCGATATAACTTCTATTTCACGATCGATTTAGCGCAGAAAATAACATAGCGAGCTATCGTAGAGACTCAGCTTTTCTTTAAGTGTCCACACGCTCCTAAATCGTAAGAGTTGACGAAGTAGGTCTACAGCCGTATTAAATATTGAAAGCGGGTACTTCCTTTTGCACTAACGTGGGATTGATTGCTACTTGGGAAATACCGTATATTAACAAAGAACCAGGGTAGAGTGCACCAATTTGAAATTTGGTTTTAAGGAATTATGAATATACGAATTACAGCTAGTAAGAACAGGAGGA